GAGCAAAGAAACACGCCCCTCTCCTTATGTCCACAGATGCCGGAGTGGATGCGAGCCCTCCCCTGCCGACTGCTGTGGAGCACCGGTCCTTCGCTCGCCCAGAGCTGACGTTCTGCTAAACCACAGTGACCCTGCCCCGCGGACAGGTGTGTGACCAAAAGGAACAGTAATTAAAGAATAATCACAAAAACCTCCCAAATGCTAGACAACTTTTAGTGTTTTGAAAAGACTCTGAGCTCTGTGCTTTCTATTTTAATGTTTTAACATATACAGTTAGATATATACAAACCAGAAAAACATGAGCTGATAGCAGAATGAAAAATACCTGGGCAGTGGCTTCATGCAACAACAATAACAGCAAAAAAACATTTTCCTTAAGCTCTGTATGTTGACTCCAAAACCAGCATCACCCGACACTTACCTCTTTCTGAACCTTGCCAGCATTTTACGGAAAAATCCTGGGCTCTGGGTCGGGGGTGGTGGTGTTGAGTGAAGCAGGTTGGGAGAAGCCGGAGGGCTGTGGTTTGGTTGCTCCCCTTGCTGACCATGGAAAGTGGCATTGAGATCAAGGCCGCTAGGGACATGGGTTCCTGGGGTGGCCACAGCAGTGTGAACCTTTTCAGAAGGAGCTGGAGATCTTGGATTTGAAACAGGGATGCAGATGTCAGAAAATTAGAGACTCTTAAAAACATGGCATTTAAAACTCTACAATCACAGTATACCTTTTATGTACAGTGGAGAAAATCAGGTATAATCAATCCAGATCCAAGGGGTATTTCACAGGACTTAGGAGTACTAGGTAAGTTAAGTAAGAAAGGGTAGTAAAAGAATAGCATACAATGACACAAAGCCTCCTAGAGTTTAAGGGAATAGTACATATATATTTTTAAGAACAAGGTTAATGCAGGGAAATTATACGACAGGGAATGGCTGATTGAAGCTTTTCCCCTTTGCTTCCCTCTCAAATTGCTTACACACAGGGAACTGTGCCAATACAAAAGAAATAAAGGACACGCAGGCATATTTGATGGACAGGCAACTAAAAGGTTTTGGAAGCACACAAATGGTGTAAATACAAAATTCCACATGCTGAAAGCAACATGGGGAAGGGCAGGAAGGTGTCACACCCTTTGCAGTATGCAAAGGCACAAAGACACAAACAGATGACCAAGGACACCGCCAGACAGTAGGTGCTTAAAGTAAGATCACAGTGAGAAAGGACACTTTGTGGACAACTGTAAGGAAAGCTGGGACTGTATAATGCACAGCACAAAATTAAGCAGCAGTGGGCACATGTTAGTTTCACGAGGAATGTGCATTTTTTCTTATGTAGCCTTGAAGTTGTCTCCTTCACTGGCTATTGGAGGGAACATCATATTGGGGTGCCCAGAAGTTGACGTGGACATCAACATCCAATGTCTCAGCCAACAGGTAGAAGATGTGGTATAAACTGAGGCAGGGCTAGCTGCATAAGCGAACACTTCTGTCTGGCTGGGAGGGGATTTGGGTTCAGGCAGAGGCAGAAACAACAGTCTGACGGAGCTGTGACCACAGGCAGCCTGCTGTGTGACACACACACCTGCCTCCCCAAACCATCTCATGTTTTTCAAAGAATAAAACTCTCCTAAACTTGTTGTGCAGATTCGGGAGCAATTGCTAACCGGTAGCTGCTTTTCCCCAAACAGTCATCTTAAAAGTTTATTACCTTGAACAAAACAAAATAGCAGCTTACATGACTGAGTATTTGTTTATGGGTGGGGGATGATGTTCTGGAGCTATGCGTAAAGTGAAGCCTATTCTAAGAGATGTCCCAGTTCCGGACTAAGTGGCAAAGCGGATACATAACGTGAGCATACTGTGCTCTCACTCTGTTTCCAAAACACATAGACATGTTTTAAATGAACTATTATAGTAAGATTAGGGGGACAGAAACTTGTCATTATATAACAGAGTATCCTATGTTGTTTTTAACTAGATACTTTAAAATCTTCTTACCTAAAGTACGTTTATAAAAAAATCCTTTATAAAGAGTTCTCAAAATCCCTAAGGGGTGAACAGAGTCTTCATTTTTAAAAACAAAAAACTTTTTGAAAAAATTAACTGTTTACAGAACAGAAAGAGTAACAGAATGGCTGGAAGTCCGCAGTCCACCTGCGCAGACAGCCACTGGACACCGCTACCCGCAGGAGTCCTACCAGGACCGCAGTATTCCTGATTGTACCCAGCTCAGCCATCGCGTCCTTAGAATTCCAAAGGCATGGTTTCTGTCCTTCAAGGATAAGCAGGGATTCAGAATTCTGATCCTGTTTTCCAGTGTCTTTCACCAAATTCCTTCCAAAAGATTGACTCTTGGAAACCAGCAGGTTCTTCCTTTGTCTCACTTGCCATGTTCAGACCAAGCATAGTATCTTGTTGGTGTCGGCTTCTTAGCCTTTCAGCTGGCCCGTGCTCTCCACTTCTACTGCCAGAGTCTCAGAGCAGAGCCTCAGGCCTCATCTTCGCTGGGCTCCCGCCTCTGCCCCTCACATCCAGCCTATCCACTCACCTGCCCACAACTTCCTAAAAATTCAACTGGACTTTGTTGCTCATGTGCTCACCACCTTTCTACAGCACGCTGAGTCTTCAGGATCAAGTTCAGACCCCTTTGCCTGATGTGCAAGTCGCACATCCTTGGACCCCTGCCGTCTCTCCAGGCTTTGCCTTCTGTCATTCCTCCAGAAACTTGACTTGCTGGCCCTCCTGATGACATGCAATCCCTTGGTAAAGTATCAGGTCAGAAAACACCTGCAGGACCTGTGTTGTCCTGTGTCTAAAGGGCTGGAATCTTTCCGTTCACTCTTCCAAATTCTAGCAGAGGCCATCTCCTCCATGAAGTCCTCCCACATGCACCACCCAATGAGAGTGAAATCATTTGTTGGTGTGAATTGAGTTCATGCACGCCACATTGTATTGTAGTGACGCTTCCTTCCTGGAGCTCCCTCAAAGCACAGCTATCATCTTGTCACTGTGCCCCCAGTGTCAGCTAAAAGACTGACAAAGCAGGTGCTCAGTAAATGTTCTCCTAACAGAACAGATGAGTTAATCAACTAGCCAGTGGGATTCTCTGATTGTCCCAAAATGAGGGAGACAGGGCTTTAAAACAAACTGCTCAAGAAGAGTGCCTGGCCCTGCACTGTTTGAGGATTCTGCCCTTCGCCTTGGAGAATGGCTCTACACAGTCAGAGAAGGACTGGGAACAAAGGCCGTCAGGTTCCTTCGCTTGCCACTCAGTGTCCATTCTTTTCCTGAGGCAGCAATCCTTAAACTTTAGAGGAAGCAGCTCTAAGTCTCTGGGCTGCAGATGATATTCACGCCACCTCAAAATTTTCCCAGGGACCCTGGCCACTGACAGGTTCAGAGACGCCCAGAGCCAGCACACACAGATTAAGGAGACAACCCCAGGTTCGGGCTTGAGCAGAGCCGTGTGCAGGAAGAGGTCGGGTCTGACGGTGCTGAGCTCAGTCGTGGAACTAGCAAAGAGGAGGCAGAATAGGAAATGGACCCTGACTCTAGGCCTGGACTTTTTTAGCTCCGTGACCTAACAGATGCCTCTTTTATTTAAGCCTGTTTGGACTGGGTTTTCTGCCCCCTGCAACAGACAGTCATAACAATTCTCTTTATGCTCAATGTGTTTACTGTAAAACAACTACCATCACTCGACACTCACCTCCTCAATTTTGTCCTCAATTTAAGGATAGTATTGGAGCCTCCACTTGGAGTTTGGATCAGTGGTTTCGCTCCAAGGGAAAGGCTCCTGATGGCAGGGCAGTCGTCAGACACTGGGTTCTGCTGCTCTTGCAGCGGCACAGTGAACCCGTGCCAACTCGCTGTGTGTCGAGAGCCGAGTTGAGGTGCGGTGGTCACACTGTCAGGAATGTTTTCTGCAGCAGCTGGCGGTGCTGGATTAGAAACCATGCTGCAGAGATCAGAAAATGAGAGACTCTTACAAACACAGCATATGAAAATTCACAATCACAGTATACCTTTTATGCGCAGTGGAGAAAATCAGGTATAATCAATCCAGATCCAAGGGGTATTTCACAGGACTTAGGAGTACTGGGTACCTTAAGTGGGAAAGGGTAGCAAAAGAATAGTATATAATGAGACAAAGCCTCCTGGAGTTTAAGGGAATAGTACACATATATTTTTAAGAACAAGGTTGATGCCGGGAAATTCTGGGACAGAGAATGGCTGACTCTAGCTTTTCCCCTTTGCCTCCCCCTCAAATTGCTTACACACAAGGAACCATGCCGGTAGGAGAGAAAGGAAGGATATGCAGCCATACTTGATGAATAGGCAACTGAAAAGTTTTTGAAGCACACAAATGGTATGAATATAAAATTCCACATGCTGAAAGCAGGCAGGAGAAGGGCAGGAACTTCTTACAGCCTTTGTTTACGGGAGAGGGATGATGTCCTGCAAGCTATGCATAACATCATGCTTGTTCCAAGAGATGTCTCAGTTCAAGTCTAAGTGGTAAAGTGAATATATGACATGAACATAATGTGCTCTCAACATTTTCCGAAAACACGGCGACATCATTTAAATGAACTATGATAATAAGGTTCTGGGTATAGAAGCTAGTCATTGTTTCACACAGTATCCTATGTTGTTTTAACAATATAGTTTAGAGTCTTCTTACCCAAAGGAAATTTACAAAGAATCCTTTATAAAGACTCCTTTATGCTTTATAAAGAATAGTCAAAATCCCTATAGGGAAAACAGAGCATTTTTTTTCCAAAAAGAAAAAACTTGTTAGAAACAGTTGAACTGTTTACAGACACAGAAAGAGTGACAGTGGCTGGAAGTCTGCAGTTCCACCTGCACAGACAGCTACTGGACACAGCTACCCATAGGAGTCTCACCAGGACAATATTCCTCAATTCCAGCTCAGTCATCGTGTCCTTGGATTTCCAAAGGGTAGTTTCTTTCATTTAAGGGTGAGCAGGGATTTAGAATTCTGATCTTCTTCTTCTAGTGCCTTTCTGCAGAAATCCTTTCAAAGGATTGACACTTGGAAGGGAACAGGCTCTTCCTTTCCCTCACTTCCCATGTCCAGACCAACCATGACATCTTGTTGGTGTCGGCTTCCTGACAGCCTTTCAGCTGGCCCGTGTTCTCCTCTTCTGCTGCCAGGGTCTCAGTGCAGAGCCTCAGGCCTCATCTTCACTGGGCTCCCTCCTCTGCCCCCCACATCCAGTCTATCCAACTCAACTGCCCAGAACTTCCTAAAACATTAACTGGACTTTGTCACTCATCTGCTCACCACCTCGTAGAGCATGCTGAGCCTTCAGGCTCAAGTTCAGACTTCTCTCCCTGGCATGCAAGTCACACACCCTTGGGCCCCTGCAGTCTAATCTCTGCCATCTCACCAGGCTTTGCTTTTCATCATGGCTCCTGAAACTTGACTTTCTCGTCCTCCTAGAGATGTGCAGTCCCTTGGTAAAGCACCAGGTCAGAAAACACTTGACAAGGCTATTCTCTATGCCTGAAGGACTGGCGTCTTTCCACTCACTTCAAAATTCATCCAGAGGTGATTTCCTCCATGAAATCTTCCCTGATACACTCTCCTAATGAGAGTAAAATCCCTTCTTGCTGTCATTTTAGTTCACGCATGCCACATTATATTGTAGGGACACTTCCCTCCTGGAGCTCCCTGCGAAAGCACAGCTATATCTTGTCAACATGCCACCAGTGTCAGTAGAAAGCCTGACAAAGTAGGTGCTCAGTAAATGTTCTCCTGATAGAACAGATCAGTTAATGATGTAGCCACAGGGATTCCGATAGCCCCAACATGAGGGAGACATGTCTTTGAAATAAATTGCTCAAGAAGAACTGCCTGGCCCTGCATTTCTGTTTGAGAATTCTGCCCTCTGTCTCAGAGAATGGCTCCATAGAGTCAGAGAAGGACTGGAAACGAACACCTTCAGATTCCTTTGATTGCCACTTAGTATCCATTCTTTTCCTGTGGCAACAATACTTAAATATTGCTCTAGGGGAAGCAACTCTAGGTCCCTGGGCTGCAGAAGAAGTTGACTCCACCCCAGACTTTTCCCAGTGACTTGGGCCGCAAGACGTTCAGAGATGCCCAGAGCCAGCACACGCAGACCATGCAGAC